CTGGGCATGGTGGTGCATGCCTGTAATACCAGCTACTCGGGAGGCTGAGGCCGGAGAACTGCATGAACCTAGGAGGCAGAGGTTGCAGTGAGCCGGGATCGCACCACTGCACTCCAGCCTGGGTGACAGAGTGAGGCTCTGTCTTAAAAAAAACAACAAATTTCACTCAAAAGGATGTAATTTAAAATCTTGAGAACTCTCACTTGTAACCCTTTGTAGTGCTTGCACACTACACTTGGTAACCATGAGAGTGAACTGTGTGTCCCTCAGGGACAACTTCACTTCCCTCTTCATGTTCTGGCTTATAACAGGCTCTGTAGTGGCAGCAAAGCTGGCCCCATAGTGAACTGACAGACAGGTGGGCTCAGTGGCTTGAAAGCCGCCGACCAGAAACATGGGAAAATGTCCCTTCCACAAATAGTTTTAGCCCCAGAGTCTGCCTCCACTAAGTGACACAAAGGAGCTTCTGACATAGACTACCCCTATCTGAGAAATGCCACATTCCTGGAAAGAGGTTTTTAAAAGACAAAGCACTCTTAACGGGCATGCAAGTCAGTGCAAATCCACATGCACAAGCAGAAGGTGTGACTGCAGCAGTGACTCAGGGTGCAGGCAAAGGTGGGGAGCTGTGGTTTCCTTCTACCTTTCTTTTTACCTGTTCTGCCAGAAGGTGCTGTTGCCTTTGAAGGAACTGCTGTTGCTGTAAATGCTTTTGCTGCTGCTCCCTTTGCTTCTGCTGGTCCAAAAGCAACTGATGCTGCTTCATTACAGCAGCCTGCTGCTGGCTGCTGAGATAGGGGGAGCTGTTGTGGGAGCTGGCTACAGACACAGCAGGCGACTGGTTCCCAACACTGGCAGCCTGGGCTGGCACAGGGACACTGGAAGGGTTTTGCTCCTGTCAACACAGATAAGGGACTGTGAAGTCTCTAAGCTCGGATCAGACCAAATAAGCTTCACCTAGTGAGTTTCATTCAAGGTTCACTCTCTTGAAGCCAAGTCTCTGCTTCCCTTTTGACCTCCAACAACAACCATCCCACAGGGTTTGGGTACAGACCAAAAGTGATGACATCTGAGCATACAGGCACTGAGCAATGAACAATTACTACATGTGTTACTTTTGCTCCCAGTGATTCATCAGTGACAAAGGAATGGTCTTACATGAAGCATATATATATATATATAAGCTCTCATATTTGCACATGACAGTTCTAGGCAGCAATCAAGGCTTACAAATGCTCGCTTATCAGGACATCTGAGTGCAGAGGGGACCAACAGGGGAAGAATACTTTGAAGGGGTCTTTGATCAATGGAGACCACTCTGTCCCATGTGCGTAAACCTTGGATTTGGGGCTATCCTTGAATGTCCCGAAACAGTACATCTGTACAAGCATTTTACTGGGAAGAGACTGCTTAGCTTTTGTCAAATAGCCATCCTCTAAAAATACTGAGTATCATGAGAACTTTAACAGATATTCTCTGCCAATATAAAGACCAAAAGTGAGTCATGTCAAGGGCTACCACAATATTATCTTGTCATTACTGACATTTTGAAGAAAAGGGGAAAACTTAGAAAAGGCAAGCAATCATTATTTAAACGAGTTCAACTTGTTGAGCTCCTTTCTAGTTCTTATTCATTCTAAGATTCTGTAGTATAATTTCTTCACTGTAGTCACCAGAAGCTTAAGAGCTACTGAGAGTGCTTCGTAAAGTGCACAGGACTATCCAAATGATAAGTACCCTCACTACGCAGCTGAGTCTTTCTTCAGGCAGTATTTATCGGTGTGAGACATCTTACTGGCTGAAATAAGTGGCATTATCAATACTGGGAGATGCTTAAACTGCTTACAGTTTCTGGCTATTAGAAATAACTACGCTGCAATGGCACACATGTTAAGGGAAAAAATAAAAATAAAAAGAAATAACCACGCAATGAATATCTTGGATATAATCTTTTCTTTTATTTTGGATTATTTCTTTAGATCAATTTGTAGGGTGTATACTATGTTAATGCATATGAACACTTTACAGCTTGTGACAAATACTAATGTCAAACGACTTCCCAAAATCAGTGAGCTCATTTACACACTCTCATCAATACAGGAGTGCGTCTATTCCCTCATGATATTACCAGCACTGGGCTTTTTAATTTGTAAAAATTTAGCAGGTATTACAAATACACAAAGGTGTTCTCACTGCAGGCTTACCTGCAGTACTGGAAAACAGGAAACAACCCAAAGGGCCATTTTCTACCCCATGGAGCCATTTGATGCTACTAGGCTTTAGAACAATGATGAAGTAACACGGAGCTGAGCTGTGCTGAGAAGCATGTTCCTAAAATGTTATAAACCTACCAAAAAATTAGGAGATTTTGAACATGGAGATCTAAAAGGTGGTAAAAATAAAAAAGTTAAGCTTCTAAGAAGCAAATTAAATGTAATCTTTATCTGCAAAGCACTGCCACAAATTACTTAATTTAAATCCTATGGCATGAAAGAGACACTGGAATAAATGCAGGTGATTCCTCAATCCTTCGTGTAGACAAAAATCAAGTTATGCTAGGGAACTTATTTTATAAATTTCCACTCCCAAGAGAAGCAAAGGATGACAGCAACTATCCTCCCTCTTCCCACAACTACCTGGGACCCGACTAATAGCCAAGTAGCCAGTAACCTCACTGGTGTCTGCAGCAGAGGAAAGAAAGTGAAGGTTCATTCTTACCTGGCCAGATGGAACCAGTGATCGGAAAGTCACATTTCCTGGCTTTGGCTTCATCAGAAACAAGGAGTTCTGCTCGTGACTCAGATGGGACAGCTGCTGGGGAAGATAAGCCATCAGGGCTGGCTTGCTCTGGCCAGACCCCGGGCTGCCTTGCCCACAGTCTGCTTTGTAATGAGAAAGGGGTTTTGTATTGCCGTAGTCCAGCACGGGCCCTGGGTTATTCATGGAGTTCTGATTCAAGTTACTCGGTGGCTGGTGATTCAGCAGGCTCACATGGCTGGGCTGGAGGTAGGGGCCTCCGGGCCGAGGGGAACTCTTATTCACACTAGGCATCATGAGCAGTTTGGAGTTAGTGAAGTCTTGCTTGTAGCTAGAAGGGCTGGCAGGCTTCTCCATGGGGTAAGGGACATCTAAGGAACTGTGGGAGGGTCCCGTCTGCTGCCACGTGGACATCTGGCCTGGGGCTGCTGCGGGGGTGGCCTGCTGTGGGTTCTGGAGCATCTGCTCACGCTTCTGCTTGGCAGCGATCTGCTGGAGCTGGTGGGCAGAGGACAGCTCTGAGGCCCCTCCTGGACCCTGACTGGGCAATACCACACTTGTAAGGGCTCTTTGTGCGTTCTGGGCCTGGGCTGATGCCGGCATCAGGTTTGGACTGGGACTGTCCGCCCCAGGCTGACCAGAGGTGTGGAATAAGGTTTGGGAGCCCCCTAGGCTGGGGGAATCTGTGTTCACAGGGGCAGAGGAAGGCCCCAGAAAGGTCTGCCCTGCAGACCCGGCCCTCACTTGTGGAGAGCCTAACTGTTCTTGCTCAAAGGCTGCTGGAGAGAATTCTGTCTTAATATTAATGTCCTGTGCCAAGGGGGTTTGTGTGGCAGAACCAGAAGACTCTAAGTCCTTCTTCTCCTCAAAGTCCTCATTAAACAGGTCCTTCATGTCTTCATCGGGCACCGATCTGTTCAACTCCTCAATGAGCTCCTTCCACTCCTGCTCGTTAAGGTTGAGGTCTGGCATGAGGTTGCTTTGCGATATGGAGCCAACAGTCCCAGTGATCATGCAAGGCAGGTCGTCGACAGGCTCCTGCTTCAGTTCTTTATTCAGGCTCAGAGGAAATGACTCACTGGGGTTACTGCCTCCATTCAAGTGGAGGCTTGAGTCGGCCAGACACTTTTTGTTGAGAGAGTCTAGCCCCAGAGAATGCTTCCCACTAGACTGCAGGGGGTCTGCTCCGGAAGGCTTGTCAGGCTGACTGAGGGGGGAGGCTGGAGGCAGTCCATTGGAAGAGACGGCAACTCCCAGAGGAGTCTCCCGGCGAGTCTTCTTATGCCCAGGAAAGAGGTCCCCATAGCCATTCTGTTGATCACCATTCTGAGGGGAAGTTGTGCTATCAATATTTCTCTTCACTGTATCATGAAGATGCTAAAAAACATCGAAAAGTATGACTTAGATACATATGAATTTGCTCTGCTTATGACAGTAAAAAGCCCAGGGCTGATGTCCCTGCAATGCTCACCAGTGGATTCTGCTTGCACAGTTTACACTCCCACTTCTGGGGCCACACCTTCATTTTTCCTGACAGTCCTGTACCTGGCCAGTCAGAAGGGTCTAGCTCAGCTGTGGGAAAGTGACACATCACTGCCTGGGCTTTTGCAGTCCTCTTTCTGCAGGACACAGGCATGAGACTGCCCACAGCCATCTCCATTTGGAGGTTTGACCAAGAATAGAGCCAACAAAAAAAGGCCAGAGGGTACACATACATTTTTTAGGACAACATCAGAGCCCAGAATCTAGTCGTACCTGAGACCGCCCATCCCCCAGGGCTTTCTACTTATGCGAGTCAACAAACCCCTTTTTGTATTTAAGTTGGTTTAACTTGGGTTTCTGCTGCTGTCAACTGAAGGAGCCCTGAAGAGCACAGTCTCTCTCAGGTCTTGGTGGGTGCCGCCCACAGGCATCGCATCTCCACCTGGCTGTGCAGGCCAGGCCCATGACATTCTTGGGCCCACCTCTTTTCCCCAGGCCAGGCTGCTTCCTCACTTGCCCTGCAGGCTTCTGCCATTCTGCTATTGTCCCACCTTCTTCTCCATCAACTTCACTCCCCTGCTCCCACTCTCCACTCTCACAAACCTTACCACTTCTTTTTTTGTTTGTTTTAGACGGAGTCTTGCTCTGTCGCCCAGGCTACAGTGCAGTGGCATGATCTTGGCTCACTGCAACCTCCGCCTCCCGGGTTCAATCAATTCTCATGCCTCAGCCTCCCAAGTAGCTGGGATTACAGATGTGTACCACCACGCCTGGCTAATTTTTGGTAGGGAAGGGTTTCACCATGTTGGCCAGGCTGGTCATAAACTCCTAGCCTCACCGGATTCAGCCTCTCAAAATGCTGGGATTACAGGCTGAGCCACCATGCCCCTCACTACTTCTTATCAGGACTATTCGCTTGAACAGAATCATGTCTGGTCTGACACTGTGACTCTGCTTCCCATTTCCTCCTCAATGGATTAATGCCAGTGCACTTAATAAGACTCTGCCTTGTGCCAGAGACAAGTGCTGTGGGGAACATAAAGACAAACAAGGCAGCTTCTCCTCTCGTGAGCTTTCAGGACATGGGATATACATAGACATGGATATGGACTGAGAGCACCGTACAGTTAAGTACTCTGGGAGTTCAAGGGCAGCGATTTCATGATGAGAACAGGCCAGAAGGGATCGTAAGGGAACAGAAGGTGGAATCTTTCTACTACTTCCCCAGCTGCACGTGCTGCAGTCAGGACTCAACTCCACTGCCCAGAGGAGGTGCCTATGCTCAGCCTCTGAACACATGCTGCTCCTTTCCTGTGTTTACTTTATTACTGTTTTTGTCCTTTGTCCCCCACCCCTAGTACTATCTCTGCTTCCCACAAACCCTAAGCATCTACAGCATGTTATTAGAAAATGTTCCAAGTGACAGCCCTCATTATTATATATTTTTTGAGACATAGTCTCGCTCTGTTGCCCAGGTTGGAGTGCAGTGGCATGATCTCGGCTCACTGCAACGTCTGCCTCCTGGGTTCAAGCGATTCTTCTGCCTCGGCCTCCCGACTAGCTGGGACTACAGGCATGTGCCACCACACCCGGCTAATTTTTTGTATTTTTAGTGGAAACAGTGTTTCACCGTGTAAGCCAGGATGGTCTCAATCTCCTGACCTTGTGATCTGCCCACCTTGGCCTCCCAAAGTGCTGGGATTAAAGGTGTGAGCCACCACGCCCAGTCAACAGCCCTCATTATTATCTTTAGACAGGATTCAGAGGAGACAGGGAACCCCCTCTGTGCTAGCTTCTCTGGCTGCAGAAAAGGGCCACCTGGCTTTCCACATCAGCCATAGGAGCTCAGGTGAAGTATCCTGGTCTGGGTGTCCCACCTGGGGCAACTCCACAGGCCATCAGTTCTCAACAGCAGACTACCCACTAGATACCAGGGAGGACCATTTTCTCAACCTCTAAGCCCCAATTCTAATGTCTCTGTTCCTTCTTTTTCCCCACATCAAAATTTGCTTATTTCTTAACTGTTAAAGCTGACTACACGGTGCTCTATAAATCTAGCCAAGTCAGTATTTAAAAAAATCCATATATGGGTAACTAAGTCGGTCTGAAAAAAAAGAAAAATCACAGGAATGCCTGACAAATGGAACTGCAGGTCAGAGGTAAGCAACAATCCTAGGACTCAGGAACTCCACCCTACAGCTGCAGGACATTTACTTTACTTTCATGCAGGTTCTTCTGCTTTCTACTGCCACCTAGGGGTAGAAAGGAATCATGCACCTAAAATGGATCCTTTAAAAAATCTATTATTTTAAAAGTTTTCATTTGTGGAAGGTAAATTCATACTTATTTAAATGGTCAGAGGAAATAAAAATGAGTTGCTAAAATTTCCTTGATTTTCATCTTTTCTACCATTTTCTTTTGTTCCACAGTGCCAGGTCTGGGCTATCTGCAAACCTGGGAGCTCAGTTTTCCATTTTCCTTAGGGGAAAAAGAAAGATAGAAATCTAAAGGGTCAAGACACTTGATGAGTCAGCTGGTTGTCCCAGATTAGAAACAATCTTTCTTTGCCCTAACAATTATAAAAGCTACCACTCCCTCATTCAATATTAACATGCAAACAGCTACAGAGAAGTTCCAAAGTAACAACTTAATTTTGCAATATCTATTGCTTTTAACCAAAGGAAACACTGGGCCATTTTCTCAACTACTCACAAAATTTAACTGGAATAATGTAGGTGGAGATAGGAATGTGGAGTGTGGTGGTCCCTGCAGATTTTTAAGCCCTGAGCATTTGCAGGAGGGTCTGATACACAGGGCAAAGATAAGTAAGCCTTGGAGCCTAAACTCCAAGAATTACAATAAAGATGGGAAAACAGCCTGAACAGATTAAAAGTTATGTAAGAACAAACACAGAAGGTGCTATAAAGCAATACTAGACTGGCTGCCATTTATCAATACAGGAGCCTAATGCCAGCACATCTGGTACTTCTGGGTGCTCAGTGTAAGATGCCATGAACGGCATGGTAATCTCTGTGACCTGCATGTACACCCCAGAGGAGTTCCTGGAAGAAACGATCAAACTAACCTGAGATATTCTTCTATTGTTTCTTATTCCGGCCTCAACTGACAAGGCTGTTGGACTTTGTAACCAAGCTTGGCCAACCTCATGACTCTACACCCTAGGACCCACTCCCAGCTTGCAAACCTACGAACCCCTTCCAGCCCGCAAAAAAACCGCCAACTGTAACTTCTGTAACTTTCCACTGCCTACCCCAAACTTATAAAACTAACTCCTATCCCATTGCCCTCCACTGATGCCCTTTTCGGCCTCAGCCTGCCTGCACCCAGGTGAAGAAACAGCCATGTTGTTCACACAAAGCCTGTTTGGGGGTCTCTTCCTTCAGAGCGAGTGTTTTAACACTCAGCTCAAAGGTTCCTGTTGTAACTACTGAAGAGTTTCTGTGGTGTACAGGAAGACCCAGTCCTGGGAGATAATATAACCAGATGCTCGTGGTCGGCTGGAGAACCACGTGTGCTCAGCATTAAACCAAGATACTCTGCTGACCTAACTCCCATTCTAGCCTGTGCCAGCTCCCTCCCTGGGAGGCCACACTCCCCTGGTGCTATCCTCCGCTCTGGGAGAGGGGTTCCAGGCTACCACCACAGCTCTGAATCAAGCTGGAGCTGGCCATACTTTGTGGACTCCTAAACAGCATCCTGTTAGTCTCTCACCCACCATGTGCTAGCCTTATAGGAAGGATAATCCTTCACCTAGTCTCCTCTTCCTCCTTCTTCAGCTACCCATTGCTGCAATCCCAGCATGCTTGTGGCCAAACTCATCATAAAAATGACCACACTTAGATGCTTCCAACTCTGCGCTGAGACGCAGCTACTAAGGACAGGTGTGGTTCTCTCATCAGTGCTCCTTATGCACTGGCAGCCACGGCTGCTTCCTAGTCCTATTCATCAGGAAATTGGCTTTTCCTCCTGCCTCCTCTTTTTTACCTCTTCTGTCATCCTCCTGTCAGCCAGACTCTACCAGTTCCCACCCCTTAGAGCCAGCACCCTTGATATATGGTAATATGGATTACATTCCTTGCCAATCTGGGAATTGATGGGATGTGGGGAAAAGGAAGGGAGGAGTTGAGAACTGCTTTCTCCAAGGTCAGCAATGATTTTCCTACTGTTACATGCAGGCCACATTTTCAGTCCTTCCCCTCCCTCTTATCATCTGTCACTTAATAATTCCATCTTTATCATTATTATTTTGAGACGGAGTTTCACTCTTGTCGCCCAGGCTGGAGTGCAATGGTGTGATCTCAGCACACTGCAACATCCGCCTCCCAGGTTCAAGCGATTCTCCTACCTCAGCCTCCCGAGCAGCTGGGATTTCTAAGCGTGTACTACCACGTCCAGCTAATTTTGTATTTTTAGTAGAGATGGGGTTTCACCATGTTGGCCAGGTTGGTCTTGAACTCCTGACCTCAGGTGATCCACTTGCCTCAGCCTCCCAAAGTGCAAGGATTACAGCCATGAGCCACCTCACTGGGCCCTTGGTCTCACTCTGTCGCCCATGCTGGAATACAGTGGGTGATCAAAGCTCACAGCAGCCTCAAACTCCTGGACTCAAGTGATTCTCCTGCCTCAGCCTCCTGAGCAGCTGGGACCACAGACACGGGCCACCATGTCCAGCTAATTATTATTATTTTTTTTGTAGAGACAGGGGTCTCATTATGTTATCCAGGATGGTCTCAAACTCCTGGGCTGAGGCGACCTTCCTGCCTCAGCCTCCTAAAGGGCTGGGATTACAGGTGTGAGCCACTGTACCCGGCCTCCTTCCATCTTTAAAGTTCCCTTTTTCTTTACCACTTTTCTATAAAAGCATTCTCTTCTGCTTTTATAGTTGGTTGTTTCTAGTATCATTTCAGAAGTCTCCCCTTCTTCTGTCCTTCAGTCAAATAGCACAGTCCTCTCCCTCTTTCACTCTACAAACTCTGAGAGATTTCACACATTCCCTTGTCTTCAAATTCCCATGACAACATCATACTCAAATAAACCCAACTCTCTGGGAACCAAAACAGGCTGGGTGTGGTGGCTCATGCCTGTAAACCCCAGCACTTTAGGAGGATAGGCAGGAGGATCATTTGAATCTAGGAGCTCAAGACCAGTCTGGGCAACATAGTGAGACCCCGTCTTTAAAAAAAATAATTAGCCAGGCACAGTAGCGAGCATCTGTAGTCCCAGTTATTTGGGAGGCTGAAGTGAGAGGAACGCTTGAGCCCAGGAGGGAGGCTGCAGTGAGCCATGATGGTGCCGCTGCACCACAGCCTGGGGGACAGAGAAAGACCCTGTCGATTAAAAAAATAATAAAAAGGGCCGGGCGCGGTGGCTCAAGCCTGTAATCCCAGCACT